CGGAGCTCTGAGGGCACCCACAGATTCAGGCACTCCTGGCTTTTTTTTTTGCCCAGCAGCCTTGCTCGTCAGATCTGTCCATACTGCTAATGAAAGAACCACATAATAAGATTTTTCCCTTGAATCTGAAAAGGAACCTAAAGAATTTCTTGCAATGTGCAACCTAAATTTCACATTAATAACATGAAGCTCAGTTACTTCTATTAGGTCAACAACCTGTTACATCTATACTATTAAAAGTAGCATAAAACACAATTCTTTAAACAGAAAAGATCAGTTGTAAGTATTCTACCTTTGGGAAAGTCCAGATGATGCCTTGAACTTCTTTTCTGTTCCTACAAGCCCCAAAGCCAGCCCCAGAACCATCATCTGCTGTAGAGGAAGCTGAAACAAYATCTGTACTTACTTTCTGCCTTCACAGAGGTTTTTGTCGGAGCCATAGCTGTTGTAACCTTCTTCCTGGTCGTCTATGGTATAATTAGACTGGTAAAAGTCGAACTGAAACTGCTCAAAATTTGACATTCTGGTGGGGAAAATGATTGCAAGTATTAACCAACAGCCTTTGCAACAAGCCAAAATCTGTTCTGAGCTGTCCTAAACTTAAATTAAAACAGAAAACTGGAAAACTACAAACTCAGGAGAATCTTTCAGTTGAAGTTTATGATCATTTGGAAGTGACAAAAAGAAAAATTTACTTTCTTTAGCTGTAACAAGAGGAATTAATCTGCTGTATAATAAGTTACAAGTGGTATACAAGACTTCTTTTCTTCTTACTGTTACCAAAACTAGTAAACTATTATTTTAAACAGTTAATTTTCCTTCTTTCAATTAAAAAAAAAAAAAAAAAAAGTTGTGACAATATGTCAGTGGCTAAAATTAAGGTTTTACTTAAGGAAGTACTTTGGATTGCAAAAACAATTACTATTTAGAGCRATTTATGCTTTGCAATATTATATATGACTCTCATAAAAAAACAGAAAACCACAGACATGTTCCGAAAATTTGTGATTTCTGTTCAAGGACACAGCTATAGCTGGYGCATCAGTAGTACCAGAGAATCATTTGCACTGGTTAGCAACATGACTGRTGAAAGACAGCAAACTTGGGGATTTCTTGGTGAAAGAAAACATGTTAAAGCACATCTTTCTTTCTTATTGACCCATAGTTCAGCTCTGTAGCYATGGACTGATTAGAATAGGAAAGGAACAACTTGTCCACTTTTCCTTCTACCTTGTGACTAACTTTTTACAACTACTTGAAGTTTACACAGGCAGGGCCCACTTCATGGTGTACAAAAGCAACATGCGAAATGAAGCACATTGGTTCTGTGACACATCATCTACCTCTTAGCATTATTGTTTCCGACTGGAAAGGTATTTAATAATTCTTATATTTGGTCTAGGTGTTTCTTCTGTTATTAACATGGTTATTAATCCACAAAACAGCTCCAAAACTGGCAGGTCTACCTGCAAACCCACAAGATTAACCCTGTTTCACCTCAGAGTTACCTTTATGCTGAGCCTCTGGTGGCAAAGACCTGTGCTYGGAGCAGCACATCCTCTCAGGGAGTCTCACAGTCCCAAGGGCTGGAAAGAAGCCCTGGGCATTGCCTGCTCCAAGCCCCTGCCCAAAGCAGGGCCAGCAAAAGCAGGCTGCTTGGGAACATCTCCAACAGGGTTTTGGAAAATCTGCCTATGTCACCTTTACTCCCTCCCATTGGGCCCCTATGCCCTCTCTCACCTCGGCTAAAATTCTCCAGTGATTTAGGGAGTGAGCTGAGTGGGATTTGCTTGTAAAATGCATAGATGTATGCACGTGTTTCACCACTTGGCTAGCACTTAGTTAAACCCTTAAAACACAGAGAGAAGTTATACAACCTGACTGATAACCATATCCATATCCAATTTACTTAGATTTTCATGTAAGATATTAATCTCCCCTAACATTTCCCATTTTTTCCACTTTTGCCCTCATTTTCAGCTTCCAAATGCCATTGGCAAAATATGCTTTTGACCTCACCGTTATTCTCAGAGTTATCTCAATATTTATCACGCACATTCTGCTTATGGGAAAGATTTTTGCAAACCTCTTTGCAAGATAAAAGTGACAAAGATTAGTATATTTCACCAGGGACCTTGAAATGCTGCATATTAGAGTTTCTGCTTTTTCTCCCTCTATCAGACTAATCTGTGGGGATTCATTTCCTTCCTTTACCTAGAGTTCAGAGTAGAAATTATTCTTACATTATTTTCTTAACTGCTGACCAATTGTGAAGGTTTTCCAAATCTAGAAGAGAAGTAATTTTTACATTTTAAATATGAATTAATATAATTAATTGTACCAAGCTATTTACCATGTTTTTATTTGGAATTGCAAACCACAGGCATTTTTTCAATGAAGATTTCACATGGAATATGTTTTAAGAAACTTTAGTTGGTAGCTCTACCTCAGTAGTTCAGTGTCAGTAAATATTTAATGTCATTTGTTGTCACTATACAGAACGAAAGAATTTCTTAAATAGGTATGGCTAGCTCTGTATAATAGAGTTCAGAAAAGATACATTTATTTTCCAAAAGAATTTGGAGTTAAGTTTACTTACTTTTAAAGACATTTGATGAAAACTCCAGTCTGTTGAATTTACATGTTGTAGAAGACCTAAAATATCCTCTTGCTTCAGCAGGGATCAGCTTAGTGCTATTTATAAGATTCTAAATTTGATATTTGAACAGATGCACATGAAGGAAGAAACCCACAACCTGTCAATATCAGGGCCAGCATTTAACATGAGCTAACAACAATGGGCAGAAAAGGGTAGGAACCTTCAAGGAAAAATGAACAAAATCAGCAAATACTGTACCATATATTTCAACTAAATCATTTAGGTTCTTTCTTAAGTATTTGCAAAGATCTTGGTGGAGTTCKCATGAACTGAGATGTTTTTAATGTTAGACATTAAAAAGTTTTAACAATTTGTAATAAAACCTGTTAAATTAGCAGGGTGAATACACTTGTGTGAGGGTGTTTCCAGAATGCAGAGCCCTAGAACTGCTATGGGATGCTCCCTGGGAACACCATGGCAGAGGGAGGGAAGGAGGGAGGGAGGGAGGGAGGGAGAATGAACACACTCCTGGGCCAAGTGCATCTGCTTGTCCAGCAGGGCGCTGTTTCCCAGGCACATCCCCCGGCCCCAATGCTCCTCCAGAAGTTCCTGTCCATTTGCAAAGTTTTCCCCTGAAGTGCAGCACCCACCATGCCAGGATCAGGGCAGGGAACCTCTGTTCTGTAATCCTGGCTGCTAGGAAACTTGTAGCACAGTATGCATTTTTAAATAGATTTTAAACTTCACCGATTTTCTATTTATGCATGTTTTTGTATGAGATGCTTAACTAGCCATAACAAAGGCTGCTTTTTTCAATTACTTATTGGATAGTTTCCCAAYAAGCACCTGGGCTCTTAAATTTAAGGAATTGGACATTAAATGATACGTATTATCAGGTAATAAATCTATGCCTCAGGTGCATACTTTCAATCCTGCGATGTTGAAAGTGAAATAATCTCATTTCATTAGCAGAATAATGATGTACTGGTAGCACATGAYCTACAATGCTATGGAAGAGTTATAATCTAGGTGCATTTTAAAATAACTTTAAAATGAAGTTTATAAAGTTTTTGCACAATTTGTCCAATAAAGAGTCCAGAAATAAAAGATGGTGAGAAGCAGAAAAATATAACATTTGTTTCTGAAAATTAAGGGCAATCTAACGGTGGTATTTATCACACCTACTATTAAATCTCCCTCACGTTCTTAAACTTCTCTCCTGCTATTTCTGGACTAACAGTTCATGCTGTTACATCCAGGTGAGTTCTCGCTTTCAATTCTTAGCAAACTGCTAATCTTTATAATGTCTAATCATCTCAGTTAGATCATATGGTTTCATCTTGTTTATATCAAATCATGGAGGGAAATGATACAGGATTAGCTTCTGTCCCTCAGGAAGGTAATTAAGAAATTTCTTTTTAGGAACAGAAAAATCCTCATTTCCTAGAGTTGTCCCTGTTTATTTTAATGATAAAAATGGTTTGATTACTTTTGCTACTTTCTGTCAGAAAAAGTTTTATATAATTCTATACATAATCACTGCATACAAATATATAAATCTATACAAAACCTGGGAATAATTATCTGACAAAACACTTCAGAGAAAATATAGAAAAAATACAATGAATATTAGTGGAACACGGCTGAATAATACTTTTATAGCTGTTTAAAATTCCACAGTTAGACAAGAAAGCTACCTGTAAATTTTTTTTAAAAAAAGAAAACAATGGAACTTAAAATTAAGCCATATATGTTTGTCTCCTTATATAAAATTATTATATACCTCATTATATATATCATACATAAATTGTACATATATATTACATTAATATCCCTGCGTATAGAGACACAGAAAATATGAAAATGGAAAATAATATTAGTTGGAAATGAGAAGTAGATGATMAAAAAATAAAAAGAAGATAAGTTTAAGCAGTTCATAGTGTAAGTGACTAATAGAAATAAGAATTGCCCAAGTGCATTAAAAGCAGACAGAATGATACTACCACTGCCATGCTCCTATCAGATGTAAGAACAAAAACATTAATAAAAAATAGACAAAAGCATTTAATYAGAAATACTGACATCACCATTTTAAAATTTTGAATCTGAAAATTTTAGAAGGAATGGTTTAAAACTTTCTATGTTGTTGAGTAATAAAACAACAGGAAAGTTTGGGAAGATCAAAACCAAGTAAATATGCTATGTTATAAGAGGCTAAATAAGCTGCCTTGAGTAATTATTGACCTGTACCCATGGGATTGATCCTTGCAAATTATGGGTTCAAATTATAAATGACTGCATCGATGAATCCAATCAACACGGGCTTTTGGAAACTAGCTCATTTCAAATTAATTTATTTCCTAATAAGATTCGTAGTTTGGAAAGGTAACCACTGATGACCTGTATTTATATAAAGCCTTTCACTTACTTTGGTTCAATAGCTGTATATCCATCCCTGCTTAATGTGACAACCATTGTACTGATTAAATGAGTGGTACCTGATGTGTCTCGAATGCATTTATGAAGCAGGGGAGGATTTCCACTGATGCTTTACGGGACTGAAGCTTTGCAAAGGCCATCTGGCAGACACTGCAGGTGTGTTACAGGTACCTGATGTTCAGTCCATCACTGGGAAACCACACTAGACAAGGCTGTCACAGGTGCATTAAMATAAAGGAAATAGAAATTATTGCACCTCAAGGCTTTAGAAGAGAGYTTGAATATAACCTTACTTTCTTTGACTGGAAAGTACAGAGGATGCTCATAGTCTATGGGGAAAGTGGTTTAGATGAGATCTAATCCTGAAAAATGAAAATGAGAATTGAAGCTGGTGAATACAAAAGAGATGAAAAGAGTTAATGAAAAATGCAAGAATTTGTACCAAAATTTCAAAACTTTCCCTAAAGTCAGCTTCTAGGTTTTT